GGAGGTTGATTGGCAAGGAGGGCCGCAACCTCAAGAAGATTGAGCAGGACACGGGCACAAAGATCACCATCTCCCCGTAAGTTCCTGTGACAGACCAAGGGGCATGGCTTCCTACGGTCAGACAGCAGGGTTAGATGGGATATTGGGAAGGAGTTGTTCCCTGTCAGGGTGATAGATTGCCCAGAGCAGCTGTGGCTGCCCCATCCCTGGGAGTGTTGCAGTAGATTGCCCAGAGCAGCTGTGACTGCCCCATCCCTGGGAGTGTTGCAGGCCAGGTTGGACAGGGCTTGGAGCAACCTGGGATAGTGGGAGGTGTCCCTGCCCATGGCAGGGGGTGGGACTGGGTGCGCTTTCACGTCCCTTCCAACCCAAACCGTTCCATGATTCCATGGTTTAATGATTCATTTAAGTCGTGTGCTTTCACATCCCTTCCAACCCAAACCGTTCCATGATTCCATGGTTTAATGATTCATTTAAGTCCTGGTGGACACCAGGCCATCCCATTCTGTCCAACATGGTACAAGCAGTGCTGGAGTTAAAAAACAGAGCAGCTGTGTCCTCCCATGCGCATTCTCTATCCTGGGTGGATGTTCCTCATCCCGGGTGTCGGACAGGTCGAGGGCACCTGGCTCTCACACTGTCTCAGGGGGAGCCCTCAGTTGTGGTTTGAGTTTTCCTGGAGCTTTTCTTGGCTTGAAGAAGGAGTGTAACCGTGTCTCTGGATTTCCCCGTGGGGCAGTTTGCAGGATCTGACCATCTACAACCCCGAGCGCACCATCACGGTGAAGGGCAGCACGGAGGCCTGCTCCAGCGCCGAGGTGGAGATCATGAAGAAGCTGCGCGAGGCCTACGAGAGCGACGTGGTGGCCGTCAACGTAAGCTCAGCCCTCCCGCCTGCCTGCTCCCGCTGCCGGCGGCCAGAGCTTCACAGTGGAGGTCAATGTGTTACAGCAAGGCTTGGGCCTCGCCCATCCCTCTGTTGAGAAGCCCAGTACTCCTCCACCCTTCACACCTGTATCCGTGTCTTTCCTTTCCCAGCAACAGGCCAACCTGATCCCAGGACTGAACCTCAGTGCTTTGGGCATCTTCTCCACAGGGCTGTCCATGCTGCCGTCCACGCCAGGGGCCCGAGGGGCTGCAGCTGCCACCCCCTACCACCCCTTTGCAGTGAGTGTGGGTGTTCCTGGTGTCTGCAGCTCTTGGGTTTGGGTGGACACTGTAGCTGTAGGAGCCACCTCCTGGGGAGCTCCGACTCAGCCATTTTGGGGGGATGCTGATCACAGCAGCAAAGTGGAGAGGGCAGGGAATGAAGGTGGCAGCCACCGAGAAGATCAGCTGCATCCCTGTGTTGTGCTGAGCTGGGTTTCACCAGTGTTTAAGGACTGGCTGTGTCCCAGGGGTGCTGCTCTCTGAAGAGAGCATGGAAAAACCATGTAGGTGGTCTTCAGTCCTGACCCCAGTCCCACCACTGACTGTGATGGTGTGGACTGTGTTGTGTCCTGTGGGTCGAGTCTTGGTGGCCACCAGAGCCCCGTGGTGTGGCCACAGGGCGTGCAGGGGACAAGCAGCCCACCCTGTGCGTGCACTGCCATCAGGCTGCACCCTGCCCTGGCACCCCAGAGGCTGTGGTGTGGGGAGCCAGTCTCCACCCCAGCTCACAGGGGAGGGTTCTCCTTGTTCTTGGGGTGCTGGAACCTGGGCACGGCTGTTCACAGCCCCTGGGCAGGGATGGTGCAGTGCCAGGAGAACCGGATGGCCAAGGTGCTGGTGGAGAAGGTCCTTCCCAGGTCACTCAGGCACCATGGGTTGCCTCTGTTAGTCCCTAAATAATTTATTCTGAGCTGTGGGTTAATTTACCTGTGCTGTTTTCTTTCCCTGGAATGCCAGCAGCAGAGCGGGCGGAGGAGGACGGTGAGTGCCTGGGAGGATGTGGGGGGCATGTGGTGGCTCTGGAGGGCTCCAGGAGGCGTGGTTGGTCACTCTCAGCCTGTGGAGGGAGGGTGCTGTGCCTGTATCCACAGCCTTTGGGAGATAGCTGTGGGAATTATTCATGGGTGTGATGGAGAGGAGTGGGACAGGTCTCCTGAAGGGCAGTGTTTGGTGTGAGGTCCTTCACCCCAAAGCTTTGTGTGGCCCTTTTCAACCCCCCTGGTGAGGCCACATCTTTTTTCTGATACAAACATCAGCAGGACAAAGCCAAAAAAACAGCAGTGGGGAGGGACTGGGGTTAGCTGGGAGCTCCCATCCCCATTGCAGCCTTGTGCTGTGCCATAGGCACAGGATCCAGGCTGCAGCTCATCCTTGGATGTGCCTGTGCTCTCCTGGAGGGGTGTCAGGGGATGAGGGGTGCTCACTGTGTCCCTCGTGTCACTCCTGGTGGTGACACACTCCCCATGTGGGAGTGGGGGTGTTGGGAAGGGACTGGCAGCTTGAGGACATCACTGATGCCACTGCCCCTCATTTTCTCTCCCACCACAGGGCTCCTCAGCCTATCTGTCGAGTCTGTACGGAGCCCCCGCAGCTGGCGCCTTCCCCCATCAGCACCCCGTAAGTTTCCCTTCCCTAAAAGTGCCCTGGCACCTCCTGCCATGAGGTTTTCCCTTGGGCACCTTGTGGGAGGGCAGGACCACAACTCAACAAAACCCAACCTGACCCTTTCCAACCCAGCCCAGCACCTCCTCAAGCCTGGAATGCTGGCAGGGGGAAGCAGCCCCCTGCTCCAGCTGTTCCCCTGACCCTCTGGTTCTTCCTTGCCCTTTGCAGCTGCCGGAGCAGGAGGTTGTGAACTTGTTCATCCCAACACAGGCAGTGGGGGCCATCATTGGGAAGAAGGGGCAGCACATCAAGCAGCTGGCACGGTTTGCTGGCGCCTCCATCAAGGTGAGCGGGAATGAGGGGCTGGGTCAGGGCTTTGTGCCTCAGTTTCCCCTTCCCACTGCTGAGGGTAGAGAAGGGAGCCCTTGGTGAATGGTTTTGCTCCCCAAATGAGTAGAGGCGTCGTCCTTCAGCATCCTGATTGTCAGCACTGCTCGGGTAGGGAGGTGGCTCTGCACGGGGGGGTCCCTGTGTGGGGCACATCCCATGGAGGGGAGGTGTTGCCCGAGGAGGGGTCACACTCACGCTCCTTCCCCGTCCCTCCGCAGATCGCCCCGGCAGAAGGTCCGGAGGCCAGCGAGCGTCTGATTGTCAGCACTGCTCGGGCAGGGAGGTGGCTCTGCACGGGGTGTCCCTGTGTGGGGCACATCCCACGGAGGGGAGGTGTTGCCCGAGGAGGGGTCACACTCACGCTCCTTCCCCGTCCCTCCGCAGATCGCCCCGGCAGAAGGTCCGGAGGCCAGCGAGCGCATGGTGATCATCACGGGGCCGCCTGAGGCTCAGTTCAAGGTGCGAGGGCCGCAGGGTGGGGGCTGGCTTGGGGACATGGGCAGGGGCACGGTGAGAGCATCCCTTTGGTCCCCACCGTGCCAGGGGGGCTTCTCAGTTTGGGACTATGGTTTTGGGACCACATCATTGCCTGTGGGAATGAAGGGCACAGCAGGCCTCCTCCAGGATGCTGCCCACCACCTCTATGTCCTTTTTGTGCCCTCTCCAGGCCCAGGGGCGAATATTTGGGAAGCTGAAAGAGGAAAACTTCTTTAGCCCGAAAGAAGAAGTGAAGCTTGAAGCACACATCAAGGTGCCTTCCTTCGCCGCCGGCCGCGTCATCGGCAAAGGTGGCAAGACGGTAGGTGGGGGTGTGTGGGGTTCCACCTGCCCCGGGAATAGAGGGCTGGACATCCCCTCTCCATCCCCTATCCATCCCCTGTCCATCCCATCACCTCTGGCCGGGTGCTCTGTGGTATCAGTGATGTCTCGGTCCCAGCCCCGTGTCCTGGCGGTGGCTCTTGGATGGCAGCCATCCCAAGGGGAGAGTGTGTAAGCCACGGCAGCTTGGTGCCATGGCTCAGAGCTGGGGTGGCACCAGCAGTGGAGGATTTTGGCTGTTCCCCAGCAAAACCTGGATCTCTGTCGTTTGCTCAGGTGAACGAACTGCAGAACTTAACGAGCGCAGAAGTCATTGTGCCGCGAGACCAAACCCCGGACGAGAACGAGGAGGTCATCGTCAAAATCATTGGGCATTTCTTTGCCAGTCAGGTAAGGTTTGGCCATGGCTCCCCCAGCATTCCCAGTGTGAGGAAGGCCACCATGCACAGCGTCCCCTGAGCTGCCCTGAGTGGTTTCTGTGCACCCAGGATGCACTGAAAGGTTTTTGGCTGCATTAACATTAAAGATCGGCTCGATTCAGGCAAAATCTGTGCCTTGGACACGGGGTGGGAATGGCTCCTTCTTCCCACCTGGGTGCATCTAACCAGGCTGGGTTCATGACTGCGAGGGCATGGTGACACCCCAAAATCTTGAGTGATGGAAGAACAAGCCAAACCCTTGCTTTAGCACTTCCTCACATATCACAGAATCACTTGGGTGCTTGGCCTGGTGTTAAAATCTCTAGAGTTGTGGTGCTGTTGTTCTTGGTGGGGGCTCAGCTCTGGTGTGGCTACCCCCGTTTCTCGCCCCCTTCTCAGACCGCCCAGCGCAAGATCAGGGAAATCGTGCAGCAGGTGAAGCAGCAGGAGCACAAACACGCTCAGGGAGCCGCGGCCTCGCAGCACAGCAAGTGAGGCTCCCGCCAGCACCGCCCGACGAATGTAACCCCCGCCGCCAGCGCCGGAGCCCAGCAGGCCAGGGGACAAACCAAAGAGCGCCGAGCCCCCGGCAGCGCAGAGCCGGGGCACGGGGGGCTCTCTCCATCCCGCAGCTTCCGCCTTACTCCGTCGCCTCCCCGCCGCTCCCCCGTCAGTGGAACTAACACAGGCAGAGAGAGGTGGTTTTTAGTTTGGAATTCTCCCCAAACCTGCCCATTCCACCCCGCAGGAGCTGGCCCGGCCTGGGGGGGCCGCGGCGCTCGTTAATTTAGAATTAATATATCAGTAACGAAACTAACGCCGATTTTTAAGTTTTGTAAGATTTTATTTTTTAACTCACTTTTTAAAAACTTTTGGGGGAGGGGGGGCTGTTTGTTTTTAGCAAAAGCAGGCTTTTCTAGAGGTTTAATGGCAGGAGCTGGTTCATTGGTTCTCTAATGCACCGTAGAGCAGAGCTATAGGATCGCCAGCAGGGAAAAAAATACGTACTAAGTGTTAAAAAGCAATTTCTGAAGGGCTTTGAGAAGAGCAGGGCCTGTAGGAGCCAAGAGGATTCCTCGTGTAGGAATTGTTCCTCTCCTTCACACACCTTTTCCTCTTTGCTTTGGACTCGAAAAGTGGGGTTTGCATCCGTTCTGTCCCCCCTTTCTGTCTGTCTGTCCTCTCTCCATCACTGCCCAGCACTGACATCCCTAGAAAATGATGGGCAGCACCAGCCCTGCCCGCTTTGGACTGGGATCTTTGGGGAAAAGATCCCTGTTGTAGGGAGAAGAGGGGGAAATGGGTGAAAAAAATAAGATTTACAAGAGGTTGTCAGCCCAGGGCTGGAAAACCCAACCAGCAAAATTGGCTTCAAATGAAAAATAACCCAAATAACCCTCCCAAAACACACACACACACACAGAGAAAAACTACCTCAGGTTTTCGTACCTCAGCACCTTGCGCTTGTGTTGCCCTTTTAGAGATTTTTGTATGCCTTGTAAAACTGATAGTTGGAGCATTTTTTTATTTTTGTAATAAAAAAAAACCGAGTTGGAAAAATGATCTCGACCAAGTCAGCTGCGAGGTGGAAGAAGGAAACCATCCCCCGTGTCCCAGAGCTCTTCCGTAGTCTCCTGCAAGCCGAGAGCCAGTGGCTGTTCCTTCGGAGAAAGCTTGAGAAATGGTTAAAAAGAACAAAAAAAAAAAAAAAAAGGGAAAAATAAAAAAGTCAAACACAATAAAAAAAAAGGTTTAAGCAAATGCAAGTGATGGATGGAAGCGGTGAAAGCCGACGGGCAGAGCAGGGATGGGAGCGGAGGTGCCGGTGCCAGCGCCGCTCCCGTGGGCTGCGAATCCGTGTTTTCCTCTACTGCAAAGTGTTCTGTGAAAACCAACCTGAGACACCAACAAAAAAGAGAAATATATCCAGCTAACCAGAGCCTGAGCCTGCTCTCTTTTCTTTCTTTGGGGTGCCTTGCGGTGGTCATGGCTGGGAGTTCCTCCCTGGTGCCCAATTCCCTGCTGCCAGGGAGGGAAGGGCTGGATGGGGGTTGTAGGCATTGCCAGGTGTAGTTTTACCCTGGGACCTGGGAAGTGTTGCCATCACAACACCACCTCTCCCTCTCTGCAGATCCCTGGATGAACATCCAGTGGGGAAAGGCACTAAATGGGGCTGCCTGGGATGCTGATAGGTGCCACAACGAGGGAATGCTCCTTCATGAGTCCCAGAGCCAGGCTCTTCTCTCCCACCCCTCCAGCACTGGGAATGCTCCTCTGGTGGCACCTGGGACAGTCAAAACTGCAGCCCCAAACACGAGGAACCAAAGGGAAGGAGGAAAGGACACCTCAAACATTCCCAGCTGCTGCATCCTCATGCTCAGATCTTCTGCATCCTCAGGGAAGATTAATTACCCCTGATTAATTATTTGCAAGGATAAAACACGAGTGTCTTTGGAATTGTTCATCCTTTGGAGAATCTGCCCCGAAGTTGTGGCAGATTGAACCAGTCAGTGAAAGCCAAGACAGACAAAGCCCCTCTGCATGGATCTTGTGGGTCTTTGGGGCAGAGCAGCACAGGGATGTCCCCAGAGCCACCAGGGGAGGAGACAGCCCCTGTTCTTCTTGAGATGAGGAGCAAGTTAGAAACCACACAGAGACAGCAGATCAGTTTTCAATTAAAAAATAAATTACTCTATTAACAAGTAACCTTCCCATACAATAAGGCTCTTACATAAGTTAATATTTATCTTATCTTACCTAAACAATAAGAAATAAATACTACTCTTTTACAGAACAGTGTTTTCCTAACAGTGCATGTCACCCAGCAGCTGCTGATGGATTATTTCCCACACCATCTTCCTGCGGAAATAAGGCATGTGTTCCTGAAAAGAAACAGGAAAAATCCATCACATAGGAAGCCAGGGGAGAAAGAGGCAGGAAATCTCCATTAACACCCAGGGAATTCTTGAGTGGGAAGCTGCTTTTGAGCACCTGCCATTTGGGTATGAGGTGGGTTTCACACCATGGTGACACAACCACCCAACAAACACCCACATTTCTTTACAGGGACATTTATTAAAGACCACCACATTGGAAAATAACCAGGGGGAAGTTTTCCAAGGGGGAAACCTCTTTCACCAAGAGGTACAAAGGCCAGATATTCCAAACCACTGACTGCAGCATCCTGGCGTTGGAATGAGATGGTCTTTAAGGTCCATTCCAACCCAAACCACCCTGGGATTCCAAGAATCCATGATCTTTCCCAAGAAGCAGACACCAGACATGAGGAGCAAGCTGCTGTGCAGCTTCCCTGACTCTTGTGTGGGTGTGGGAAAGGCTGGAGCTGTTTGCACTCCTCTCACCGGGGTGAAGATGATGGGTTTGTCTCTGGAGATGAAATCGGCAAATTTGCAAACAAAAACTCCACAGTCACTTCCATTATTTTGTTGAGGGATTTCCTGAGGAATACAAAAACATGGAGAATTTTTATCTGTCTTGAACGAGCAGCAATCTGGTCATAGCACGCATTTTACCCACACCTACTCCTGAAAGCCTATTTCCATAATCCATTTACCACTCCCAAACCCAAGGAACAGTCCCAGTTAACTGCACATCATCTCCCTCCTCTGCTTGCCTGGGAAGTGTTAAATCCCCTGTGACAAGGAGTTCTAGCTCCCATTCCAAATCCAGGCATTGCTCCCATACCTCTGTGCCCATGCTGTGAAGGGTCCACTCAGAAGCAGTCAATTCAATGTTTCTTTTTTCCCTGCTTTCCTCTTCCAGGTATTTTCTGTAGAAAACAACACAAAAATCACTTTTCATCTCCCTGATTTAGGGCAACAACAACACCAACAAAAAAAGCTGTTGAAAGGTGACAGGAAGATAAATCACAGTGAAATGCCAGAGGTCCTCACAGCAGAGGATTTAAGGAATGGGGAGGGAAAATTCCTATCTTAGAGACACAGTGAGAGGCTGTGAGCAGGGCTCCCCAAGGCCCAGTGTGGGGCCCAGCCTTGTATAATATCTTTATCCATGACCTGGACAAGGGGATTGGGCACCCTCAGTGCCCTTGTAGGTGACACCAAGCTGGGTGGTGGAGGACAGGAAGGCTCTGCACAGGGCTCTGGGCTGGTGGCAAGGTGAAGATCAGTCAAGGGATGCACTCAATGATCCTGGAGGGCTTTTCCAGCCTCAGTGATTCTGGGATTTGTCTCTGTAGGGCTCTCTCACCCTACAAAGCTGCTGGATGAAGGGTTTTTCCTGACAAGGACATGTCAGGATGTGCAGCACATGTGAAAACTTGCACCTCTGACACTCTGCAGGATTCAAAACACTGACCAGAACAAAAGAGGTACAAAGTGAAGAGCACCAAGGCACAGGGCAGAAACACTTCCTGTGGGGAGGGGAAAAGGCCTCAAAAACAACCAAAAGGGATAAAAAAAGCAGCTACTCACAAGACAGTTCTACAAATGTGGTCTCCTTTCTGTCCCAAGGAGTCAAAGTATTTGATGGTTTTCTCTCGGAGGTCTACGACCTGGGGTTAAAAGGTGACTTAGACAAAGCACACCCCAAACATGAAAGGACTTTGCCCTCTAGCTCTGCTCTCCCCATCCCCTAAATAAAAAGCCAGTTTGACTCACCAGCAGTGTCCAGTGAATTCTGAGGTGAATAGGCACCAAGATGACATCGTGCTCAAAGATATCCACACCTTTGGTCCATTTCTTCACTCCCTTGTGGCTTGTAGAGCTTAGCTTGGAATAAAAGAAGGTATTAAAAGCATAGACTGCTGGATATCCTTCCTTCTTGCTTCTTTCCACCAGAAGACCCATGTAGAAATTCATGATCTGGAACAGAGAGAGGCGAAGGGAGATGTGAAATAAGACACGAAATTAAAAAGACAGCAACATGTCTTTGCTGGCCACCCTTGAGCTGAGAAAACTCCAGCTTGGCAGCTTTTGCTCCCAGAATTTCACACTGGAGGACTTGTGCTGCTGGTTACAGCCCCCACACCCACTCCAATAACCCAGACTGACTCCTGGGAGCTGCATCATCCAAGTGAAAGCTTCCAGAAACAGCAGCCCACACAGTACCCAAAATAAGGAGTGTACAGCTATTTCTGGGCTCTGCAGTGGAGCTCCTGGAAGACTCCTGTGCCCAGGGAGGGGGGATTTCCCAGGAAGTGCAAATCCCATACCCTGTCGTTGAGCCAGCCCAGGGGCTGCAGGGTGCAGATGTCCTCACGGGTCACAGTGAGCTTGAAAGCCCTGCTCAGGATGTCCTCAGGCTCACCACTGTCAAAGGCAGCAGAGACCTCACTCTCCATGGCCTGGAACAAAGGATTCAGTGGGGAAGGGCTCGTGGAACAGCCCCCCAGAAGGCCTCCAAGTGCAGCTCCAGTGCCAGAGCAAGGAGCCTTGCAGGCCCTTTGCTGAACCAGCCACAGCACTGGCTTGCTGCTGAGCACAGGTACCTCTGTCAGTGGAGCCAGATCATCTCCTGGCTTTTCTAGGCATGGCAGTGGCTCACTGTCCACAAAAAAGAGGTCTTTGGACAGGACAGGTGTCACATGGAACTGGAATAACTTTCTTTGGGGGACTTCAGCTTCACGCTGGCCCTGCCAGGCACAAGGACAGAAGTCAGAGAGAAGCACAAGGGGTTTGCTGGGGGACAGGGCAGAGAATCCTGCAAGAAACTGCAAGGGGTTGTGTAAACACATCCCAGCAGCAATCCCCAAAGTCACATTTGATTGGTGATTGCATTCCAACTGTGCCCAGAGAGGCAGGGCTTTCCTTGGGCTTGGATTAACATCCCCAGCAAAGCCTCCACATGCAGGTATCAAGCTGAGATCAAGGTAAGTATTTGTGATTTCCACACTTCAAATTTTATTTTGGATCTCAATTCTGAGTAGAGGTGAGTTATATTTTTCAGAAAACAAAGTGAAGTGGTGACTAACTCAAGCTTACCACTGAAGCAGCTCGTTTCTCTCGTTTTCCCTGTCCACGAGAGTCTTCTGGTGGTGTGTAATAGCTGTCAGGAGAGGGAGAGAAGTGAGCTGGATATCCACACTGCCCCATGAAATTCTCCAAAATTCGCCTTCTGCATAAGAAATGCTTTTTCAAGGCTGATTCTGACACATGACAACATCTCAGTCTCCTTCCCCATTCCTTTTGTAGCAGCCAGACCAGTATAGATGAAGAGCTGGAAGCTTCACAAACTTTCTTCCACCATCAGGTGCCCAATTCCATTTTTTCCTCAGTTTTAATCTTTGGGAAACAGAGAAGCAACCAGCACTTCCTCTGTCAAGTACTTTGTGATCTCCTGGTGACAAATGCCACTCCACCAGTTATTTTCTCTCTTCCCTTGAGCTTAGGGGACAGTGACAATTTAACTGGACAAATGCACAGCTCAATACAGTGCTCGTGTCTAAGGGGGAAAGACAAGAGGGACAAAGTCACCCTAAACCACACCTCCACAACCAAACCTCTCTGCCCCCATCTGCACTCTGAGGGGAGGAAGAGGAGTGCACCAAGGGGCCACACCAAAATCCCTCCCTGGAGCTGCAGCCAAAAGCTCCTTTCCCTTCACTCCTGCACTCCCATCCTGCCACCATGGAGCCCACTGGCCCCTGATGAGGGACAGAAATGCTCCCTTTTTGGTCTATTCCAACCCAAGGCATCCTGCAAGCCTCAGAAACTGCCTCAGTCCCCCCAGGCTTTACAAGCTCCCTACTCCTTTTGCTCAGGATCCACAGGAAATGCAAAGTCAGCTCATTAATGATGCAGCAGAAAGACACTCGGGAGCAAAACCAGATTCTGCAAACCCAAGACAACCTGGGCTGTCACCCCTACTTCCTTCTCCCAAAAACCACCCAGCACATCCCACAGCTGCCCAGCTGCGAGAGGGGAGCTGGATTTGAGGGACAACTAACTGTGAGCAATTCTCCCCCAGCACTGAGACACTGAACAGGACTGGTGTTCTGGAGGCTGACAGAGCCAAAAGAAACAAGAGCCATGGTTAGAAGAGACTCTTACCTGATCATGACACCTCTCTGAGGCAGCTGGGGGCTGAAAACATCCCCATGTTTGACACCTGCAAGGAAAAGCAGCAATATGAGAACAGGGAGGTGATTTCCCATTCCAGCAGCTGCACAGAGCTCTCAGTTTCTGGGTGACATCACAGACATTTCATCAGCATTTTCAACTTAGAAGTTCAAACTCTGGCACCTGCCCAGAAATCATTTCAATCCCCATATCATCATGTCACAAAGTTCAAGATATAAAAGAATTAGTGATGAAAAAGTATTTAAGTAATGAATATGGGGGAAAAAACCCTGGGGCAATATTAAACATATGTGTAATAGTTTACTTGTTCTAAAAGCTCTGCTTTCATGGAAATAGTCCTGTCTAGCATTAAAAAGGGATTAAAGTGCAGCTCTGAGGGTACAGAGTCCCCCTCCCCTGGTACAAAAAAAAGCAGGTAAAACAGGTACTACAACCTTCTCCTGTGCAGTGGAGTCACATCCAGCTACAAACTGCACTGCCACAGTCACAGCTCTCAAATACCATTTTAAACCAGTTCCTCCCCTTCAGTAAAACCCTCACAAACCCAGTTTAGCCAGTAATGAGGAAAATGCCCTGTTTGGGCTGGACTTCTACCAACAGAGTGGAGCAGCCCTGGGGATACTCACTGGTTCTTTCTGGCACAGGTGGAGAGGCACCTCTGGGTTTTTGTTCTTTCAGGGGACTCCCAGTCATCCCTGGTTCCTTGGTTTGAACTCTTTGGTGTAGCAGAAGAAAAGGACAGAGTTTTTACAGGTGATTTGTTACCAGTGCACCTCAATTCACTGCAGAGGACACGGCTATTTGTACACAACCGGCTAAACGAAAGCAACAGAAATATATAAAGTAAAATTAGGCTGTTTAATCCCCAACAGAACCATGCTGTCACTGGTTCCACGGCAAGATGCAAAGGGCATTTTGAGGAGTTTACATACAGAAGTTTGGCCAACTTCAGCCCAGGCATAGTGAGCATACAAGAGTCAAATTTTCTATCTCCATTATTCCAAAAGAGACTCAACCACTACATTTGATTCTGTCCAGAACCCTGAGAAAGATCAATCCTCCTCCCCTTCCACATACAACAAACTCACCACCAGAAAGTTAAAGGTTATTTTGCTCATAATTACTTGTTAAGTCTTGCTGACCGTGGAGAAGTAAGTCTTCCAGAATATTTTTCTTTGAACAGACTCAAGAGCTCTTTGTATTTCTTATTTTCTGCTTGCTGAACATCCTTGCAGAAGGGAAGGAAAAAAGAGACTTCAGCAAGCATTCCCAGCCCTTCCTTTTGTCTCATCCTAACTATACAGGAAATGCACAGCTGTTTCATCCCAAAACAATTCCCTTCTCCCCACTTTACCTCTTCAGCAGCACACAAAGGCCTCCTGGTGCCACTGACTCCTGGAGAGTTGGGACCTGGCTCCTTAATGGGGGGCCTGGGTGTGACAGGGCTCTCCGGAGCAGCTCGGATGTGGTTATTCCTGCTCAGGCTGAAAACACCAAAGGCACAAGAAATGCTATTAAGAGACCATTCAAAGCTCCTGATTTATTAATTAGGTTTTAATTAGCACCTCCTGATTCAAGGAGGCACTGCAGCCTGCCCAGGACCATGCTGGGGAGGGTTTTCCAACATCTCTCCAGGTGACTGGTGGCAGTAGCTGAACACCCTCAGAGGAAAAACATAAAAGGGTTTCCCAATGGAATTCTCTGGGGAAGTGGAAATTCTCTGGGGTTTTTGGGGGATTTTTTTTCAGTTGTGGGTTTTTCTGTTTGCATTCCTGGTCTCAGCCTCTTCCCAAGTTCAACACTTCCTCCTACCACAGGAGGTGAGAGGACTAAATTTGTTAATCTTTCTCTGATCCCCTGAGTCCATCAACTATCTGGATTTAAAGAGAACGTTTAAAACTGGTCAAAGGCAAGAAAAAAGCTGAAGACCTCCCTCAGTAGAGCAGCCAGGAGAAGCCCCAAAACACCCTGGAAAAACGTTGCTCTGTGGACACAAATGTTGGGCAACACAGGAAGTTCAAGGATGAAAGTGAAAGGCAACAAACCCTTCAAAGCAGAAGTGAAAAAACCAGAAGGATTTTTACCTCAGATATGGAACTCTCTTACAAAGAGAGGATGGTGTTTCCTCAGTCAAGCACGGGTTGGTGTCACAAGGCATTTCGTCTGTGGGAGAAGAGCACAAGCCATCAGCAACTGGTCAGGAAAACAGGAGTTACAGGAGTTCAAAGAGCTTCACCAAAGATAAATTACTCTCATTTTATCCTTCACGTTCTAATATTATTTGTGCTATGTTGCTTTAGGATATTTTCATATTGGCAACTACAGAATGTTGCCAGCCTACACCTAATACAAAAGGGTTCTGAGGCTCTACTACCTAAAATCAGCATCTGCAACAATTTCTTTCTGGCAAGCCAGCAGTGGGACACACTAGAACTGCATCCAAGGCAGTTAATATCTGGGATCCACAACCACATAAGCATCTTGGGATACACCACTGAATATCCCACTTGGAAGGGATCCACAGAATCATCCAGTCCAGCCCCTGGCCCTGCACAGACACCCCAACCATCCCACCCTGTGCATCCCTGAGAGCATTGTCCAAATGCTGCTGGAGCTCTGCAGCCTTGGGGCTGTGCCCATTCCCTGGGGAGCCTGTTCCCAACCCTGCCTCCAATCCAGAAGCAATACCAGGATGCAGGGAAGAAACAGCTCACACTCCACTATTCCTGGGTGCTACCCAGACATTTTGCCTTCAGCAACCAGCCCCCCACCTAGGCAGAGCTGCCCAGAGTCAGAGCAGCAGGAGAAAGGAACAGGTGAAGGACTTGCTGTCAGCCCTACCAGGTTCTGCTGTGTCCTCATCCTCTGCAGATGCTACAAGTGAAGAGTCAGAAGAAATGTACACAACCTGAAATAAAAGCAAGCACCAGAGTGAGCATAACCTGAATGTGAATCCAAGCAAGCACCTCCCCCTGCTGAAATTCAGTCAGCTGTGCTCTGACTCAGAGCCCATGGTTTTGCATGGGCTGCAGCAGAAGGCAGGGGCACTGATGGCACCACTTCTGTAACACAGGCTCTTACACCTGCAGGGATTGTGGGAGCTGATCCCTGAATTCCATTAAAAGCCTTGCTCACCTCATCTTCAGACTCAGAGAAGAAGTCATCTTTCTCTTTAGTCTCCTGGCTTCTACTTGTTGCCTTAGGTGACAACTTGGCAGCCACAGAAACCTCTTCAGGCTCCTTGTTAGCCCCAGAGACACATTCTGGAAAAACCACACCACCAGGCCATAAAGAATGGGACTGGAAACAGGGGTTGGGACTTGTGCTTACACCCAAGCCCTGCTCCCTGATCCCACATGGAGCAGATAACTCATTTCAACTACACAGCAACAGCCCAGCAGCACCCCACCCCATCACTGGGGATCTTGCTACCAAGCAGGAATTAGGAAGCTCCACATCCCCCACAGAAGAGCAGCAGCCTTGATTGAAAATGCTCTTTGTGCTGCCCTGCAGGGCTCAGTGCTAGAGAGACTGGGATGTGCCATGCCCTGCCCCAGACAGGATTTATCCTTGGTGCAAATACATGGCCTTCCCAGGATGGAAAAAGTCATTCCCTGCTTCTCTTCCTGCCTTCATCTGACCAGGGTCTCCCATCCTCCACTTGGTTGGAAAATCCCACAATCATCAAGGTTGGATAAACCCTATAAGGGCATCAAGTCCAACTGTTCCCACAGCACTGCCAAGGCCACCACTGCCCCACGTGCCCAAGTGCCACATCCATGAACACTGGGACACATCATCGATGGGCCCAGGCCCCATGAGACCCCCTCCAGCCACAAGAGTGGCTCAGAAACCCTCAGCTTCAGCAGCAAAACTGAAGTACCAAAACCAGAGCTCCCCAAAGCTCCCCCAAACCCCAAGGAAAATCCCAAACCCAAGGAAAATCAGGCGTATTAAGCCTCTCTGTGAGGGGCAATACCTGTTTTCGGCCTCTTTGCAGGGATCTCCTCAGGATCTTCCACAGGTGACAGAACACTGGGGGAAGAACAGACAGAACAATGTTTTTCAAACCACAATTCAGCTCCCAGCAGGCCCAAACTTCCAAAGGGAGCTTTCCTATTTCCCCAGGATCATCTCCCAGAGAGCTGATCATCCCACTAAAGCAGATCAGGCGTCTTTTTCTCCTTCTGTTAATGCCTCCTCGTGTTTTACGTTTGCTCCTATCACCAAAAAATGCCTTAATATGTAATGCTTCCCTCTTTCCTCCGGGAAAGAAGCACTCCAGAGGTCACTAAGCCATCCAAGTTCATGTCACTGCGCTGAGCTGCAAAGGAAAGCGGAGGTAGAACAGGAAATGCAAGGTGGGAATGCCAGTCCTGCTCACATCCATCCACCCCAGCAGCTTCCTGCTGAGTCAGCTCGGGAGCAAACCCTTGAAACAATTACCAGCCTCACCCTTTCCCACAAGCCTAAACGCAAGGATTTTTAGCGGGTGATACCATCGCTAAGTCCGGGAAAAAGGTCTCCTTTGGGAACAGAGCACAAAGCACGTTCCTATTTTTATTTCCCCCCCCTCCCAGGAGCCAATTCCTTCTGGGCTGCTCTCAGTGCAGCTACGGGCGGAGCAGGCGGCTCCCTCCGGGGACATTCCCTCCTGCGTGTCGCTGTGGGGTGGGACACGAGGGGGGAGCACAGCCTGGCTCCGCGGGCACACGGGGCGTACATCCCACACAGCAGCAGGCACGGAGGCGCTCCGGCCATCCTCGCCGGCAGCAAAATGGTTAACTCTAGGGCAGGCAGCCTGCTTTTATCCACCGCACACCCCCGGCGTGCCCCGGCCCCGTGCGGGGGTGCCCTGCTCCTCCAAGGCATCCGCTCCAACCCCACCCCGCTCCCCGCGCCGAGGTTATCGGCAACACCTGGGACCCACAGCCGCCAGCACCGGGCATTCACCGGCGGTGTCTGCACCCCGCAATCAGCTCCACACCTGCGGGCAGCCTTACGGGGAACACCTGGGGCTGATCAGGGCTTTCACAGACCCGCACCGGAGCCCCGGCGGCGTGCGGACACCGGCCGGGCCGAGCGGCGGGGCAGCAGGCGCGGCGGGAAGGGCTGACCTGGGGGCCGGTTTCTTTCGGGGTGGCGGCTCCGGGCGCGGCTCCGGGCTGAGGGTGAGGGCCGGGGCCGGGGCCGGGGCCTGGCGGGCGGCGTCGCGGAGGGCGCGGAGGACCGCGAGCAGCCATTGGTACATGGACCGCGCGCACTTCCGGCGCCGGGCCCCGCCCCGCGCCGCCGACGGCGGGCACGCCCCGCCCGCGGCCACACGGCCCCGCCCACAGACACACACGGCCCCGCCCACAGACACACACGGCCCCGCCCACAGCCCTGATGGACCGCCCACAGGCACACACGGCCCCGCCCACAGTTCTGATGGACCGCCCACAGACACACGGCCCCGCCCACAGACACACACGCACCCGCCCACAGCCCTGATGGACCGCCCACAGACACACACTCCGCCCACAGCCCTGATGACCCAGCCCACAACCCTGATGGCCCCGCCTACGGCTAGGCACGCCCCGCCCACATCCCTGATGGACCTGCCCGCAGCCCCCGACTGCCCCTTCCCACAGCCCTGATGGCCCCGCCCACAGCCCCACACGCCCCGCCCCCAAGCGGCCTCGCCCCGCCCCTCCCGTGCCCGGCGGGCTGGAGCCATGCGGCCGTGCGGTCTGCAACACTCCCGGGACAAAATTTGGGCTATTTCTGCCCATTCTGCTCCTGCCCCGTCCCGCTTTCTGTCCCCCAGCGCTGCCACGGCTGCGTCAGGAGCTCTGCCCTCTCCTAGAGTCAGGAGGTTTTGCCGTCTCGCAGGGTCAGGAGCTTTCCCTACTCCAAGAGTCGGGAGCTTTGTCCCCCTGGAGGGTCAGGAGCTTTGGCGCTCGCAGACTCAGCTTTCCCAGCTCCGGGACTCGGTCGTCGGGCTGTGGTGGGGACCTCGCCGCGGGTGGGACTTGCTGGCCATTTCCCGGGGCTCCGGGGGGCAGAACCCCCGGCATCCCAGGAAAAGCAGGCACTGGCGCCCGTGTCTCCCGCCCTCCCTCTCCGTGCCCCCGCTGCGGGATCCCTTCCCCGGCGCTCACCGAGCCGCGCTGGGCTCCCGCCGGTGATTCCTCCTTCTCCGCATGGCTCTGGCCCGCTGCTGTCGCGGCCGAAGCGCGACCGAGCGCGGCCGCGGGGCTCGAGCCGGGGCTTCCAGCGCGGGCGGCGCCGCGGGGCTCGCCCGGGGCTCGCTCCCGGAGCCCCCGGAACGGCCCCGCCGCTCAGCGTGCCCCGCATCACCCAGAAGGAACTCTTTTGGGAGCCCATCCCAGGCCAGGGGGCCTAAAGGAACAGCTCGCCCGGCAGTGTGTAACACTTTCCTGATAAATTGGTGTCGCCTGGCTGGTAAATGCCTGCAGCAGCTTGAGCCAGCCTGTAGTAGTGCCTGGTCCTGAATTGGAAAAAAAATTAGTCGGTGTTTAGGAGTTTTATTCCCGAATTTCCGTGGGAAAAGGGGTTTTTAATGCTTTTCCTGTTGCTTCCCAGTTGCTCGCTCCAGGCTGGCTCCAGCGTTTTCCTCAGGAGCAAAAGGGATGTTTGAAGGAAAGCAGGGAGGAAAAGGGGCAGATTGAAGCGTTTTGGGGCAGCTCTGCCAGCAGGAGGTCCCGCAGGGAATCCGAGGGGGTGTGCTTTAATTTAACCGACCTTCCTGGCTGTTTTAGCAGTTTAATTGCCAGGATTCGGGCCCCAAGGAAGGAGGCTGAGGCTGGATGCGGAGCCCAGCAGAGGGCACGGCAGCCCCACGCAGGAGCTGCAGGGCCGCCCGCCGATCCCTTCCTCATCCTCCCGGGACAGTGCAAGGAGAAGGATTTTAGGGCTGCCCCACGATTTTTAACGCCTGTGATTGGATTTTCGTGAGCTGGGGACTGTGTCCGTGGGGTGAGAGTGACCACTGCACATCCAAGTCCCTGTAACCTGTGCAGCTGGAAGAGTTTATCCCAAACACAGGATAACTAACGTGGAATTCCGTGAGCTGGTTCTCTCTTCCAGTGTTGATATGCAGACTCACAATCTCTGAAACATCAATAACCAAATACATTAATAAATTAAACTTTAATTAAAACAATGCCACCAGACTGAGCAAACTTCCTTCTTTTATTGCCTTCTGTGCAGCAAAAGTTCCCCCCTTCTTTTTTCCCCCAAAAAACCACAACGAGTGTCTGTGTTGTAACTCCTGCCATGCCTTCCCAGAGCAGTTTGACGTCGGCTGCGTTTCCCAATCCCTGTATTTTTGCAGCTGCTGGTTCTCTCCATGACTTCATCCTCATTCTGCCCCTGAGCATCTTGCTCAGAGCACTGACGTGTTGTGACTCAAAGTGATGATATTTGATGCACGCAAACCAAAATCCAGTTCCTGGCTGCACAGACCTGGATCACATCTGTCCCATCTCCTACAACAGGGCGAGAGCAGAGAATTTCCATAAATAATTATGAATGCTGGCTCATTATTTATGCATTGCTCAAAGCATCTCTACCTTCAGTGCAGCTTCTGTGTGACAGCAGTGGGGTTCCAGAGCCTGGTGTTTCAAATTATTGGGATAACAAAGTAATTCCACTGAGGAGTTTATTTGGGAAGTGATGGGTGGTGATTTTAGTGATATAAAGACAAATAGGCTTAATCTGTCTTTTACATCCCTTTATTTTACAAGAGTGCAGGTGGAACTGCTGTGCCTGCAGGGTGGGTGGGTAACCTGGATGGAGGGAAGGGAAGGGAAGGGAAGGGAAGGGAAGGGAAGGGAAGGGGAAGAAAAGCAAAGGAAGGGATGGGAAGGTAAAGAAGAGGAGGAAAAGGAAGTGATGGGAAGGCAAAGCAAGGGATGGGAAGTGAAGGCATGGTGAGGGAAAACAAGGGAAAGGGAAGGGCTGGGAAGACATGGCAAGGTAAGAGAGTGGAAAACAAGGGAAAGAAAGATAGGGGGTGGGGAGGAATGGGAAGGCAAAGTAAAGAAAGGCAAGGCAGGACAGAGGGCAGCTGAAGCAGCCTGGGCAGGTCTCCCAACCCCGTTCTGAGGACAGGATGGGAAGTTCCACCTGCCTTAGTATTTCCACACCTGCCACTCCCGGGCCCTCCCAGCCAGGAGATGAGCCCACAGGGGCAGAAGATGCCCAGGATGAGCAGCCTGGTGCAGGAGGTCTCCTGGAAGAGCCCAAAGGCATCTCCACGCTGAACCTGGGAGCCCTTGGCAATTCTCCTGGTGTGAAGACAGAGTCCTGCAGCCTGCCCCGCGTCTGGGCTGGGTGACAGCAATGGCCCTCCTGACACCAGGTCTCCTGATCCCCACACTCCAGGGAGTTTATCCCTGGCCCTCTACAGTGCAAGCAAGGGATTATCCTTGACAACACTTCCCTGCAGACCCACCGCTCTTTATGCTGTTTCACCAGCAGCTGCTGGATCCCTGGTCCCTGGGTGGTGTGCGGTGCTCATCTCCCTTGGGATGGCCTCTCCAGTGACTTCAGATGGGAGTTGCCAAGCTGGAAGCCTCAGAGCACTTGGAAAAGCCCTGGAAAGGGAAAGTGCTGGCTTTTGGGAAAGGGCTGCACACGCAAAACAGCCCTGGCAGTGTTCAGAGAATGCTGAAACCATCCACGAAAAAGCCAATGTTTACGGGGACAAAACCAGCTCCTGAAGGCTGCATCCATGTCCCAGCCATGAGCTGGCTGTTGGAAGGTCCTGACTGCTGCTGGTGATGAGCAGGGGAAAGAGAGGAGGAGCACAAGGAGCTGCTCACAGGAATGATGTGATGTGCTGCCATGCAAACCCTCAGTCATGCAAGCCATGATCCCACATCGTATCCCATGGAACATCCCCACAGCCACGGGGAATTTGGGAGAGTTTGGGCTGCAGGAGGGGGGCTGGGGTGAGATTTTGGGGCAGGCAGCTCCACTCATGCCCGAGCATGGGCTGCAGTTTGGGATAAGGAACAGGTTGCCTGGGGAACTTGTGTCTGCCCTATCCCTGGAAGTGTCCAAGGCCAGGTTGGATGGGGCTTGGAGCAACCTGGGAGAGTGGAAGTGTCCCTGCCCATGGCAAGGGGTGAAGCTGGATGGGCTTTAAGGTCCCTTCTAATCCCAACCATTCCATGATTCTGTGATCTCAAGCACAGGCTTCCCTTTAACTCTCACGTTCACCAGGTGTTTTATTTTCCTGCCAGTCCCTCTGCTCTTCCAGAAACCATCCATGAGTGCAAGCCAGAGCATCCTGCTGGGACAAGCCACTGGCAGCTGGATTTGGAGCAGAAGTGGACAGGTAAGGTCCAATTCCACTCTCTGTTGTGTGGTTTGCAGAAAGATGAGACAGGAGCCTTTATACCCTTTCAGAGGGAGGATATTTGGGAGCCCCCAACCCTTTCAGAGGGAGGATATTTCCAGCTCACAACAATGTCTGAGCCCTCTTGCTTTCTCACCCTGCAGGGACAGGACACCATCCCCCAGGAGAAGCTGTCCACAGCCCCATCCAGCCTGGCCTTGGACACTTCCAGGGACATCAGTTCCCTCCTGCCTTTCTCATGGTCCCTGTAAAATCTGTAAACCAGAATGTCACTGCCAGACAGCAAAGTTGTGGCTTCTCCTGGGCTGGGACATGGGACTGGAGAAGATGGGAGTGTTCCCACTCTCTCCAGAGCCTTCAGGGCAGGATGGGAGCTGACAGGTATGGACACAGCATGATGAGCACCCCTCTGGGCCCGGGGGTTTCGGGGCTGGAGCTGGAGCAGAGGCTCCCTCTGCTCCCCCGGGCTGGGATTCAGCACTCCGTTGATTCAGAGCGACCCTGCCTGACTCACCCAGGAGCAGGGCTGAGCCTTTCCAAAGGAAAGCTCGCATTAAACCCTGCCACAAGGCTCTGGCGACCATATGGAGCTGGGAGAGGGGTGGGGGCCAGCCCTGACCTTTATTGTAGGGAGGGCAGCACCACTGACCCCGCTGCCTGCCCCCCGGGGTGGCTGTTCCCAGGCCACTCAGGTTGTTCCACAGGGCTCGCTGCTAAATAAGACAATTAAATCCTTGAGCCCAGGTTTTAGTGTTTCCATGTGCAGCCAAGTATCTTAATCTGGGCTGTTTGTGGAATTTTTATCCCGTGGATCCCTTGGTATGCCTGGAATGTTTGCTTTTCCTACTGTGTGCGTGTGTTTGAGGCACTCCTGTAAAAACAAGAGCTTCCTGCCTGCCTTGTAAATCTCTCCTTGATTGGCAGAGTGGCCTTTGGTGATTAATCAAGGGGCACGACGAGCTGACGCCCTCCAGGAGCTCGCTCCTTGCAAATCCCCGGCACGGTGGTGGGAGACCTGGGAAGGGACCCCGGGAGCTGGCTGCTCTCCAGAGCCGTGTGGTGACATCGGTTTTCGGTAAGAGCCTGGGAGAGGAAGGACTAAACGGAAATTCCAGAGAGCTAAGGAAATGCTCCAGAGGGCCGGGACTTCAGAGGCATTTTCTATTGTATCATCGGGATAAAACACGCGGCTCCGCTTGGAGGGATTCGCTCCGTGGACAACCAAACCTTCCCACCTCGGCTGGGCTGGGAGGGGGGGCGTTTATTCCAACCAAACCTTCCCACCTTGGCTGGGCTGGGAAGGGGGAAATTTGTTCCAACCAAGCCTTTCCACCTTGGCTGTGCTGGAAAGGAGGAGATTTGTCCCATCCAAACCTTCCCACCTCGGCTGGGCTGGGAAGGGGGAAATTTGTTCCAACCAAGCCTTTCCACCTTGGCTGTGCTGGAAAGGAGGAGATTTGTCCCATCCAAACCTTCCCTGTCTTGGCTGGGCTGGGAAGGAGGAGATTTGCCCCAGCCAAACCTTCCCACCTCGTCTGGGCTGGCAAGGAGATTTGTCCCAACCAAGCCTTCCCACCTTGGTTGTGCTGAGAAGGAGGACATTTATTCCAGCCAAATCTTCCAATCTTGGTTGGGCTGGAAGGGGGAAGGTTCACCCCCGCCATGGATAGAGGTTTCTCCGGGAGATGGACACTGCTAGACAAGGCTGCAGAGAAGAACCACCTTGTTGGTGTTCCCGGGTTTCTCCATGTTCCCATTGGAGGCTTCCAGGTGTCACAGGCTCTGCCTCGATGTGGCTCAGGGGTTCCAAGTTGGCTCTAAGCCCCAGAACAGCAAAAACTGCTCCAGCATCTTGGCCAAAGGTCTCTAATTTGTCCCAATTAGCTGCTGTTCCAACCCTGAGCTTGCCTGGAGCTGGCTGTGGGATCCTGAACTGCTGTTGTGTTGTGCAGGCCACACATGGGGCTGTCCCCATGTCCCCATGATCCCAGAAGGGTCTCAGCTTGGGGAAGAAGCTGGCAGAGCTGCAGGCTGCCAGCCCTAGGGCCAGCCCCAAACTCATTGCTGTAAGCAAGGAGACCTTCAGAGCTTGTGGAAACTTGCCATGGGAGAGGGCAGTACTCGGCATTTTAGAGGAAATGGTGAGATTTAGTAGGAAGATTTTTACAATGAGGGTGTTAAACCACTGGCACAGGTTGTCCAGAGAAACTGTGGCTGCCCCATCCCTGGAAGTATTCCAGGCCAGGCTGGATGGAGCTTGGAGCAACCTGGGATAGTGGGAGCTGTCCCTGCCCATGGCAGAGAATTGGATTGGGTCACCCTTAGAGGTCCCTTCCAACCCAAACCACTTTGTGATTTTCAGGTTCTGGTCTTCCCACTTTTCCCCTTGGCTTTTGCCCACTGCTAGAGGCAGGATCTGTGCCAGGACAGGGCCAGGGCCAGGATGAGGAGCTCCAGGAACAGAGCACTGTGAGCAGGCAGCCAGGGAGGGTCTGTCCCAGCTGAGCATGGGAGGAGGGACAGGTGGGAAGGAGCACTCAGGACACACAGGAGAGCTCAGGACACACTGGCTGGCTGTTCCCTGGACCAAAGGAAGATGATCTTTAAGGTCCCTTCCAACCCAAGGCATTCTGTGATTCTGTGAAGGAGCATTTCAGCCAGGCACGGCGGTGCCAGTGTGGGCAGAGCCGTGCAGCCTCTCCCTGCTCCTGGACAAACTGCTCCTGAGGCCCTGCCTGTTTGTCCTGCTGATATCAGAGGCGCTGATGATGGGTCCCTCTGGAGCCTGTCTCTCCACATCTGCCAGTCCATCCCTGCTCCATCTTTCCCAGGCAGTGCCGGGTTTGGAGCTGCTGCTCCACCCCCTCCATTACACCATCTGTGCTCCCTCCATGCACCTGCCAGAGGATGCTCTTTGCTGTGCCCTCTCCACACCTGTCCCGAGGCCACTCCAGCCTCTCTCCCAACCATCATCAACAGCAGCCCAAAAACTCATGGCAAGAGGGTCAGGGGTGTTTCCCAGGCATTTTGTGTCCCCAGGCAATGAGCCCTGTAGCCACCCAGCCCTGTTAGCTGTGACCACCCTGGTGACAACCCCACTGCCATGGTGCCAGGGGGTGTTCAGTGCCATCAAGGTCACCTCCACCTTGTTCCCTGGTGTTCTCACCACCACACAGTTCCTAGCATGGCTCTGGCATTTGGATGCAGCTGGCAATGACCCCAGAGGTGACGCAGAGCTGCTCTGTCCCACTCTGTCCCACTCTGTGTGGCCTCCAGGCCCCTCTAATTCATTACCAGAGTGCCTGGAAGGCCCCAGCACTGGTAGGAGCCCAAGGGAGCAGGCAGCAGGTGGGTGAAGCAGCAAGACAGTGACAATTCCTGCTGCCTTTGGGATCCTGGGATGAAGAACAACCCCTGCTCAATGCTGTCCTTCCCCTTTCTTGTGTCACCCAGCCCATCCCTGCACTGGGGACAACCTGCCTGTAAGGTGTCATCACTGGGCACTGCAGTGAGCAGCCCTTTTCTCTCTCCTCAGCCTCTCCTCGGCCAGGGTTGCTCTTCCACCATGGATATTTCTCACTTATTCTGTGTTTGGGAACACGAGGCTGAGCTGATTTTGCCCGGGCTGCATCCCTGTCAGGTTTTCCTCACAGCCAGCAAGATGTGAAATTCCTCAGGGACCCAGATGTGTGTGCTTATTTTCATCCCTGCAGAGCAACAGGGACCGGGGTGTCTGGCATTCCCCTGCCCCGCGGGGTTCTGCCCCCTCCTTTTGCAAGGGGTGGCTCCAAACTGGGGTGCAGATCTCTCACACGGCCCTGGGGAGGGGGCACAGACCCACCCATCCACCTGGATGTGCTCCAGGGTCAAGTGGAGAAACGTGGCCAGTGAGGAGGTGCTGCTGGTGGCCACCTGCCTGTGACACTTGCCCGGTGTGTCTGTGTCACCCCACGTCCCCACCGAGCTCCGGGGCAGGGGCTGGAGCCTCCCTCTCCCAGAGCCACGGGGGGTTCCCTGCCAGGTGGGCAGGAAATCACACCTAGCACTTCGAATTTCTCAGGAAAAAGAGAAAATTCCTCAAAGGCAGCAAAACGACAGGGGGCTTTGCTATGGAAATTCAGAGCTGTGTCCCCTGGGGCTGGTGGCTCCTGGGATCTTGCTGGGCTTCACCTTTGTCCCTGCTGGCATCTCCTCAGCATTCCCTGGACTGGGTCCCACTGGTGCTGGCAGGTCAGGAACAAACCCCTCGCAGGAAACAGGGAAATAAAGGAAAGCAGAAAAGAACAATTTAACATCCAGGAATGGAAATGACTCAGGGGCATTAAAATGCAGGGAAGATGAGAAAGAGGAGGGTCCTGGCCCTGTTTTCAGGCATATTTTTCCCCTCTCAAAATTCCTAAGAAGGGACTTTGTGAAGATGCCTGTGGCTTCACCTCCCTGAGTGTTTGATTGATGAAGAACTGTGGCAGGAGCTCCTGGGAGTGGGGATGTGCCCTGGGTTATCTATATGGGATCTATAGATCAGCTGTAGAAGAGGAGAGAACCCAGGAGAAAGGGGGGGTGGTGGGGTGGTGTGGAGCAGGAGCAGTCCAACTTTCTGTGATCCTTACTGGGGCAGATCCAGCATCCCCCTGAAAAAAGGGGAATCTCAGGGGTCTGACTCTGGGAGAGACACTGAGGTGTGGGGGAGCTGGCTGTTCCCAGTGATGGGACAGTGCTGGATTCTTGTCTTGGGGATGGCTGCCTCTGTCAGATGGGATCAGTCCTGCCCCTCATTGCCCCAGCTCTGTCCCCACTGAGGCTACCAAGGTTTTCCCTGGGTGGAGAGGGATCTTCCCATTCCTTCCTGCACTGAGGAAGAGCCATATCAGCAACAGGAGTGAGGGACTTTGCACAACCAGGAGCATCCCAATCCCACCCATGTCCTCCCCAGTCACATTGATGTGTGTTCCCTGCTGGAGTTTTGGGAATGGAATTCACCCTGTTGCACAGCAGCACCCCAGGTCACACATTCCCGGGGAATCGCATTCCCAGGGGGGATCAGACCTGGGACACCCCAAAATGATGCAGATTTCAGAGAGAGGACAGGGAAGACGAGCTGGCCTCAGGCCTGGCAGCTTGTGGGGGTATCTCCATGAGGATAGGATCCCTCTGCCTGGGATGGTGGGAGCAGGGGAAGGGCTGGGGTGCTGCCTTGGCTCCCTGCCTGCGGGGTGCAGTTCCCTTTGGGGGCAGCCTGGGGAATCCTGGCACTGGGAAACAGCACTTGTGCAATTCCTTGAACTCCAACTCCTGGTTGCACTCTGAATCCAGAGTCTGGGACAGAAGCAGGTACCTGGAGGAATCTTTATCAGGAAAATTGCCATGGAGAGGTTTGAGGGGTTCAGCATGGTCACGGGACGCTGTCACTGGTCACGGGATGCTGTCACCACTGTCACCATCTCCCCAGGAGATGTGCTGAGGCTGCAAACCTCCTCTCCATCCCAGGCACCTTCCTCTGCCCACAATGCCCCAGTTTTCCAGGCTCAGCACGGCTGAGGGCTGAGGCATTTTGGGAGCCTGAAGACAGCCGAGGTGACCTCATCCCACGAGTATTTTCTTGGCTCCCTCTCCTCGCTCCAACGCCTCGGCGATAAGGCTGGGCTGAGGTCAGTGGGAGGGTTTGGCATTGCGGAGCCGTGTGTCACCCCACGGAGCCTGGGACACGCCACTGGAGCCTGGGACACGGCACCTGCGCTTCCCTGGCTCCAGCCACGTCCCCGAGGCCCTGCCCCATCCCCCAGGATGCTCCACCTGGGAAGAGGGTCCCTGCAGGCAGCCAAAAACGCCCCCACCACTGCCCCCAGGTCCAGCTGCTGTTTCACCTTCTCCTGGGGAAAACAAAAAGGCTGAGGATTTTCTTACCTCCAGTATTAGAAAGAAGGAGAGGAAACTCTTCAGATCACTTTCCAAAGGGGTGTTATCAGCCCAGGAGGGGTTTCCTGCTGCCAGAAATAGAGCAGAAATAGGAAGGGAAGCAGGATGACACAGCCATAGATAAGGTGGGGGGGATGAGCTAGGAGAGGAACCCTGGGTGCTGGGGGAGCTGGGCTGCTCCCTTGGAGCTCAGGTGGAGCCCCATCCACCTGGGAAAGAGTAGGGCAGAGCCACAGCTGGCTCCTTTCAGAAGTGTTGCTGCTGGGCTTGGTGTGTTGGAGTGGTGCAACATCCATCCATCCATCCATCCATCCCATCCATCCATCCATCATCATCCATCCATCCATCCATCCATCCATCCATCCATCCATCCCGTGGTGCTGGGCCTGGCCCAGTGTTTCCAGACTCTGAACGTGCCTGGGACAAATGCCGTGCTCTCGTCTCCTCCCCACACAAAAACCAGAACCTCACTGGGGCTTCAGGGTGCCAATTCCCACATTTCAACCTTCATCCATGAGGATTTGACTTGTCACTAGGAAAACCAGGCTGGAAAATCTGTTTCTTGAGCTTCCACGTGGTCCTCTTCCTCCAAGCACTGACTCCATCTCTCTGCATTTTCTTTCCATGCTCCCTTGCCTTTGAGTCTGGTACCTGCTACACATTGGAGATTTATTTTTTCCCCCATTTTTTGGGATACAACCCAGAAGTAGTGAGCTGTGCCTGCAGCCCTGCACCTGCTATTGCACCCTGGGTGCCTCGGGGGTGATACCAGCATGGGATGGAGCAGAAAAACAAGGAGATGAGGCTGGAGACCCCCATGTCCCCCTCCCCAGATCAGTCTCCCAGCTCTGTGCCAGTCAGAAGATGCCGAGTTCTATCAAAAGAATGGGAGTTTAATGTCCCGGAGCTAATAAGCAATTTTCCCCTGCACCTGCCTCTCCCCGCCGCCTCCCCTCCGGCCATCTGCCGTCTCGGGGCCTCTGGACTCTGCACCGGCAGCCTGGGGCACCGGGGCTGAGACAGGGCTGGTGTTTCACTGCTTTGGGGCTGGGGGGGCTGAGATGGGGCTGGTGTTTCACTGCTTTGGGGCTGGGGGTGCGCAGTGTCCCCCCAGAGAGGAGCTGGGGTGCTTTGAAGGGAGAGCTGAGCCCCTGATGGTTTCCTCCATCCCTGTGTCCCCCTAGGGAGGTGGGTGGCAGAGCTCAAAAGGGGAAATGGAGGCTGGGAGAGCAGCAGGGAACACACAAAGGTGCCGAGCCAGACACGAGCTGGCAGGAATTGCTGCATCCACAGGGAGCTGGCATCCCCAGCCAGAGGGGTGTGAGGATGCAGGACATAAGGAGAGAGGAATGCAAGGAGAGGGATGTGAAGAGGGGATGCAAGGAGGGGGAAGGTGAGGAGGGGGGATGCGCAGAGGGGGAATGTAAGGAGGGGGATGCGAGACGGGGGCGCCCGAGGGGGCAGAGCAGATGGGGCCGGCAGGCTCGGGGTTGCCCCGGCCCCGCAGACAAAGGCCGGGGCAGATTTACGGCCCGGGACAGCTGGCGGGCAGAGCCGCCCCCCCGGCCGCAGCTGCCGCTCCCGCTCCCGGCCGCGCTCCTGCGCCGGCGGCGGCCCCGGGGCGGAGCGGGGCGGGACCGGCCCCACATTCCGGGCATAGCAAAGCCCGGCCCGGCCCCCGCGGCCCCGGGACGCTCAGAGCTGCCGCAGCACCGCTCCGCTCCGCCATGCCCCGGTGAGTTCCGCCGCCGGGACCCCCCGACCGACACCGGGGAGCCCCCCGGCACAGGGAATTTCCCCGCACCGGGACCCCTCTGATCGGCACCGGGACCCCTCCGACCGGGATCGGGAATTCCCCGCTACTGCCCCCCCCCTTCCCCCTCCCCGCCGACACAGGGAACCCCTTAGCACTGGGACGCCCCCGACAGGGATCGGGACCCCCGACCGGGATCGGGACCGGCACTGGGACCCCCCCGGCACGGGGATGGCCCTTGGGGAAAGGACGCTCCCCCGGCACCGGGAATTCCCCAGCAGGGATCGGGACCTCCCTCGGCATCGGGACCCACCCGGACCAGCAATCCCGGGACCGAGACCCCCTTGGACCGAGATCCTCCTGGCTGGGACTGGGACACCCCCCTGGGCCTGGGACTTTTCGACAGGGATCGAACCCCCCTGGCCCAACGAAGCTCCAGCCGGGACTGGGATCCCTCCACGGGAAAAGGACGCCCCCCAGAACCGGGACCCTTCTCTCTGGGACCGGGACTCGCGCCCTCCTTCCCCCCCGGCACCTCGACCCTCCCGGGGCAAAGACCCTCCCATGCCAGATCCACCTCCAGGGACTAGGAACCCTCCTGGGATCCTCCCAAACGCGACCGCAACATCCCCACGGCACCTAGAGCCCCCGCCTCACGGAAAAATCCCAGGATCCTCACCGGGACACCTCTGCAAGTCCAAGACCTCCGGGTCCGTGGATGGGGGGGGTCCTATCCATCTCCCGGTGGCTCTGTGCCCGGTCCCGTGGGGCCGCTTTATCCCCCGCTCCCGGGCCAGTGCCAGTCCCGGCTCCATGGGGCTCCAGCTCCGGAGCCAGCCCCAGGTGGCCGCAGGAGCCGCGGCCCCGGGCGCGCTGAGTGCCGGTGCTCGGTCACCCCGCTGCGGAGGCTGCTCCGCTCTCCCGCTGCCGCCACGGGCTCCCACCCCTCCGGCACGTCCGGGCCAGATTCCTGGCAAACAATCCCGTGTCCATCAGGATCCGGAGCGTCCTGCCCCGACTGCTTCCCAACAATCCCGTTTCTCCCTCCCGCAGGTGTCTCGGCGTGCCCAGTCGCTGTTGAGGTCCCCCGGGACGCCCTTCTCGGGTGGAAACGTGGCTCTGCCGCCGGCACGGACGGACATGAGGACGGCGGAGGACTCGAACGGGACGGTGCTGCACCGCCTGATCCAGGAGCAGCTGCGCTATGGCAATCTCACGGAGAACCGCACTCTGCTGGCCATCCAGCAGCAGGCCCTGCGCGGCGGCGGCGCCGGGAGCCCCCGCTCCTCCCTGGAGAGCCTCAGCCCGGAGGAGAGCCAGATGGTGCAGCAATCCACGCGGCAGGAGCCGCAGGGCCAGGAGCATCACTCCGACCACGTCTACCTGGAGAACAGCGTCTATCGCCTCTGCCCGCCCAAGGGCGAGGAGCTGCCCACCTACGAGGAGGCCAAGGCGCATTCGCAGCTCTTGGCCTCGCAGCGGGGAGCGGCGGGCGCGGCGATGCGGGCTGAGCACGCCCCGCGCGGGGCCGAGAGCGGCGCCCGGCGCCCCGACGAGGGGCTCAAGGAGCTGAAGCACGGCCACGTGCGCTCGCTGAGCGAGCGGCTCATGCGGATGTCGCTGGAGCGCAACGGGGCCAAGGCGCAGAGCCCCATCAGCGCTTCCCACAGCTTCCCGCAGCTCTCCCGGCAGCTCGGCCCCCTGCGCGGGCAGCACCCCGAGGGCACGGAGCCGCGGGGACCGCCCCCGGAGTATCCCTACGTCATCCCTTCCCAGGACGCTTACCTGGCTGAACCCCGACCCTGCTCCCGGGAAGGTGCTGGATTTCAGCATCCTGAGATCAGGTAAAGTGTGGCCCCTGGGCTCTGCTTTTGGATGCCTCCCAGGAATGTCCAGGATGGATGCTTGGAACTTGCAGGATGTGAAGGGCAGTGAAGGGATGTGAAGGGGCCCAGAGCAGCTGCTTTTGTCCTCACTGGCCCAGGCCGTGGGGGTCTGCTGGGAGCCCCCCACTCTGCTCCGGTCCCCAGCTCCCCCAGCATGGCTGGGCTTTTCCAACCAGTGAAGAAAATCCCATTCCCACAGCAGACCCTGCCTCTGCCCCAGGCACCAGGAGGGAGCTGGGGGTAACTTAGGGGATAATCTAAGAGCTGGAAGCAGCCCAGGAAACAGCTAAATGTGGAATAGGTATGGGGCAGGGTGGAAGACAGATATGCTCCCTGCTCCACAGAAACCCATGCCTGAGCTGGGAATGTCCATGTAACTTGGAATTGCTGCTGAGCAGAGCCTGGGCTGGTGCCAGGTGGTCTGTGGTCCCTTTGGCAGCTCGGTGCCTGTGGCAAAGCACCAGAGTGACTGTGAGATGGACATCTGGGGGTCCAGGCATTGCCTGGAATTTGAAGAGGACTGGGAACAACCTCTTCCAGCGTGAAAAATGATGAGAAGAAGGGAATTGGTGGCTCAGGGGGAGGACACACTGCTCCCAGCCCTGCTGATCTATCCAGGCAGAGAGCGATAGCATCTCCAGCAGGAAAACCTTCTCCTTCCAGGGAACAAAGAGGGGAAGGGGAGCTGCGAGGAAGATGTATTTATTCTTCCTTGCTCCTATATCATCCCGCAGGAATGCAGGCCCTTGGCGGGCAGCCCGCGGGGGAGTGCAGCGGGGCCGGGCGTGCACAGCCACCCTGCTCAGGGTATTCCAGGCGGGATGATGAGGTGGGATGCTGGAGCAGTGGCACAAGGGGCAGCCAGGCTGACATGGATCCTCCAAATATAAAAAGGACATACCCACGGTTTGGCAGTGAGGACCTATGTCAGGAGTCTTTGCTTTGCACAGAAAATAAGGAAAATGCCGGCTTCCAAGGTGCATCCTATGGCAGGCTGCCTGCAGCATTCCCAGGAAGAGAGGGACCTGGGGGGTTGGGAGCCCATCCAGACCAGGTCCTGGAGGGGTCAGCTCAAGGCATCCCTGCAAGATGGGATTTGTGGTTAAACACCAAGCGCTTCCCAGTTCTAAAAAGCAGGATAGGCACTTCCACCTCCTTTGAGGTGACTTGGAGGCACCAGCACGTGCTTGATGGGATGCTGGAGCTGCAGCCAGCTCTCCCACCCTGCCAAACCTTGACACCCCCTCCTCGCTGTCTGCAGGGTGCTGCCCACCTCGGTCCCAGCCGCCTTCCTGCCGCTGTGTCCGGGCGCGCTGGGTCCGGCCGGCGTGGAGGCGCTGGTCAGCGCCCAGGCGGTGTCGGCCGGCAGCCGCCTGGCCCGGGCAGACGCCGTCCTGCGGGAGAACGAGAGGCTCCAGCGGGAGAGCGAGAAGCTGCGGCGGGAGCTGGAGAGCTGTGCCGAGAAGGCGAGCCGCATCCAGAAGGTGAGGGAATGGTGGCAGCTTCCCGTGTCCCTCCGGCCCGGGGCGATGCTCGACCAGCTGCTGTGAAAATTCACCCCCTTTAGTGATTTAATCCTTTCTCCTCCTCCCTCTGGCGGCTTGTTCCCCTCGGAGCAGCTGCAGCACGGCAGCCGGATTGGGGAGAAGGAGCCCATTCTCCAGTGACCCTCTCCCTCTGTCTGTCCCCCCATCCCAGCCGCCACAGAAAGCCCTTTGTGTGGCCGTCTACAAGGGGCGGCTGTTCCCCGTGGCCGGGCTATGGCAGAGAAAATTCTCCACAAAATCTGTGGAGAAAATCTTCCATAAGAGAAAAGACCGAAAAAATCAGTTTTCCCCCCCCAAAACATGTGCTGGGGGTTTGTCAGAGCCCAGGACATCCCCCTGACAGTCCTGGATGATCCAAGCCCCAGCCAGGGGGCTTTGAAGCCCTGGCAGGGGGGGTCGGAGACCCTGGCATGCAGCCAAAGACCCCTGCGGCTTTGAGTTCAACCCATGGAACAAATTACCACCTTTGTATGAAGAATTAAAGGTCACAAAAGTTTAGATAACTTAACAGTAGTTGTCATAGGGTAAAAGGTGAAATTTTAAAGAATTTTACTGTGGGGGTCCAGGGGGCAGAATGGAGGGATTTGGGCATTGTCCTGTTCTTCTCCCTTCTTCTTCCTAGCCTCCATCTTCTTGGTGATGGTGGCACTTTGGGATTGGTGTAGAGTAGAAAGTCATGTCTCACATAGGTGATAGGTATTGGAACATAACTGTAAATATCGAATATGTAGGTTATAGTATAAAAGACAACACCAGCCCAGGGGCAGGCAGTGTGCCTCAGACTGACCTGCAGGACAGATCTCAGCAGGCCAGACAGAAAATATTTTAGATAAGAAATAATAAACAACTTTGAGAATGACAGCCGAAGACTTCTGACTTCTTCTTCAACAGCTGGGTTGGGGAAAAGAGACTTTTTAACACAGCTCGGGATCATCTCAACCAGAGGAGATCCCGAGAGGGGTCGGCTTGGGGTGCACTGAGCTCCTCAGGCAGCTCAGGTTGAGCTGAGCACCCTGGCTGGGCTTTGGCTGGCATCTCCCTTTCCTCATTCCATGAATATCTAACCCTGGCCTGTCCCTTCCTCCACCCCAGCTGGAGAGCGAGATCCAGCGCATCTCGGAGGATTACGAAAACCTTGTCAAGGCGTCTTCCAAGCGGGAAGCCTTGGAGAAAGCCATGAGGAACAAGAGAGATTGTGAGAT